AACAGGTTGTAGAAAAAGTTGAACAGCATGATCTGCCACATGGCGCGCTTCTGGAGCAAATCCCAGATCTGGCCCACGTAGTGACCAAACGGCACCGCCGCCGTCTTGGTAAATCACAAAGTACGTGGTTGGCACCATGAGAAAGCACGGGATGCAGAGCAGCATGTACATGGTGTTGACGCCAAAGATCCACGAAAAATCGCCGGCAAACCGGGGCGAGTTCATGCAAAAGGCGGCGATGACACGGTGCGCGTCGTGTAGACCAGCGACTGCATCCGGCCGCGCGTGGCGATCGGCTCGCATACTCGACGACCAGCGCGTCCGCGGGCACCTCTGCAAACACATACAAAATGGTCGCGACACCAAAGAGAAGCGAGACGACGCCGCCTTGGACAGGCGCATCCAGGTTGATGGTCGCGTTCTGGGCCGCCTCGCCTCGATGCCCGCCTCGTGGTAGTACGGGTCGCCAAAGCTCATGGATGCGAGGACGAGGAGGCAGATGAACGCGCCACACCAGCCAAGCATCATCCACGACTTGCGCCGGTAGCCGTAAATGGGCACGCAGTCCGAGATCATGCCAATGAACGCCTTACCAGTCGATGATGAGGAGCGTCTTGGCCGAGTTGTGCACGTCATGTGAAAGTAGCCCGTAAAGACGGGGTACGTCATGTTGGGCAGCGCACCGAGCATGAGGCCGACGACGACGTACTGCGAGAGAAGACCGAGCACTTCCTGGCTCGTGTAAACGGGGCCTTCACGCAGCGCGCCGCCTTCGAGGTCGCGTCTTGGCCTCGTCGTACGCCTTGTCGACGGTAGCCGAGACGACCGAGAGCCGCTCTTGCATGCCCAGCGCGCAGTGGTTGTTGCTGTTGTGGCTCTGCATCGTAAAACGAAAATGAAGACAAGCGGAACTGCGTAGTTAGGTGTACCACTGTAGTACTAGTTAGTAGCCATTTGACGTGGGCACAGTGTGACGCTGCAAATGACTCAACGGGTGTTATAACGCGTCGTCTTCTGCTGTTTGACGTGCCATTGAGCGTGTTGTACGCGTTGAAGCCAGTGTTGAACGCTATACTGAGGTCGACCACCCCAGCGCACCTAGTTGCGACTAATGATCAGGTTGCGACCATGTGTACTCCACCGGTGGCGGCGACGTTTTATGGACTTCTCTGGCCCACGATCCAGAGGTCGACTGCGACGTTAAAGCTGGTTTGGCTCGTGGGTACCGATTACCATCACGTCGGCAACACCCGCTGCAGCCAAAAGGCATCTTTTGGCCTTCCTACACCAGGCACGGCTAGACTACGGCACGACGGAGAGCCCGCTTGTTTTTTTGGAGTACAAGCACACGCGAGCCGTTGCGTGGTGACGTGATCGACAACACTGTCTTCTTGGCTCGGAGAATACGACGACGCTCTGGACTTGCTACTCTGTTGAGCAATTGTGGTAGTACTAATGAACGTGGGTGGCGGTGTCTTCGGCTTCAATCCACGGCTGCAACTGATCGCACCCGCCTGCTTTGCTCTGTCCACCTTTCACGAGAGTGTAGCGATTCCGTAGCGGCTAACGTAGAGGAAACCAAGATGGACGCCACGGCTTGTGCCGAGCGCCGACGCTTAGCCGACGAGACGAGTTTGCGTTGTAAATGCCACGAAATGTCTGCAAAGTGAGCGTTCAAAGCCATACTAGTACTAGAGAACAGCACGCAGATCTTATTCGTGTTGCCTTCAACTCTTGAGCTTCAAAGTAGACTTGTTTTGCAGGCCGACAGAAACTTTGTTTGTCTCGTCGCGGGCCTTCTTGACTGCGTTGATCGTCTCGGTCGAGGGGTTGCTTAGAATTTGGATGACCTCATCGATCTTGGGCCGGTCTTTCGGCTCTTCGGCGACGCACCACTGGACGAGAGCGCGGTACCACGCGGCGCAGTCGGAGCGCATCTCGGGCACGTACTTGCCTCGTCTCGCCTTCTCGTCGCTGCCTCGCGGCGCCGGGGCGCGCATGTCCATCTCGCCGAGGATGACGCCGAACGCATAAATGTCAGCGGACGTCGAGATCTTGTCGCCTCGAAAGACCTCGGGAGCTACGTAGTGCTCTGTCAAGAGGTTGACGTGCGTCATGGTCACCGCCTCGACGCGGCAAAGGCCAAAGTCGGCGAGCTTGACTTGGCCTTTCTTGTTGAAGTGCACGTTGTCGAGCTTGAGGTTGCCGTGGACCATGGACCAACCTGGTTGCTTCTTTGCTTCTTTCGGCGTGTGGAGGGCCTTGAGCCCTCGCGCAATGGATAGCGCGACGTCCAGGCTGTTGATGCTGCCGGGCTTTGTCGCGTCCGGTGATAGCTCGTGCAAGTGACTGCGGAGGGTGCCGTCGTCCATGTCCTCGAGATAGAGCTGCCACTGGCCGCTCGAGAGCAAGACCTCCACATGATACATCTCGACAATGTGCTCGGACTTGCAGCTA